ATGTTATTGAATCTCTGAGTTATTTTGATTTTCCAAGTGTTTAGCCAGTGGCTTGGCCTAAGCGTAGGCACCCTTCACTTGTTTTATTTTTGTCGTTTTAATTGCTAATGGTTTAATCCTTATTGTTCTAATCAAAGAATCATGCAAAATTATTATTTCATTCATTTAAAGCATTTAGTTCTACATCATCTTCAATCTTTCTTCACAGAGTGTGCAAAGCATTGCGGACATTGGTCTTGTAATTAATGTGGGGAGTTGAGCTTGTTGATTTTTGAAAGTGTTATCTTCATGCATCTTTTGACAGAGCGTCCAACATGTATTTGAATTGTCTAGCATTGTATTCAATGTTAAATTCATCTCTTAGTAATTTGGCTAGGATCGTTGTTTATAAGGAGTTTGGATGAACTGGCACATCAACTCGTGGTCGTGGATGCTCTTCTTGTCGGTTTGAATTGTAAATTTTGAGCCCAATAAGTTTTGGTGCCATTTGACAATCGCCTTGGTGATGGCATATGGCTCCCGAACATATGATGATGCCTATTTCATGCGATTGTTTAGCTTTTTACCATAGAAGGTGATCAATTTATTATTTTGAGAAAAAATAGTACCAATGCCTATGCCGAATGCAACCGTCTCTGGGGTAAATGGTTAGAGAAATTTGGAAGAAACATGATCGGAAGATTTGCAATAAATTATTTTAAATTTTGGAAGGCTTGTTGTGCTTGGTCATTCCAAAGGAATGCATCCTTATGAAGTAAGTTGATAAGGGTACCTGCTATAGCGATGAAGTTCCAAACAAAGCGGCGGTGATAACCTGCTAATCTCAGGAAACCATGATGAGCTTTGATAGTTTCTGGAATGACCTATTGGATGGCTTGAATATTGTCTTGATTTGGACCAACTCTTACGACTACTACAAAGTGCTGGTATTCCACCTGGGATTCATCCAATGCACATTTGGACCTTCATAAGTGTAATTTGTTGGTATGAAGGCAAGTGAATGTTGAATGATGGAAGTGGAGTATTCTAAACAAGAATTCCATAAAAAATAATAACAAACTTGTGTTAGTATTATTTTATTATATTATTCATAATGCTTTGAAAGGTGGAGGGTGCATTGGCGAGGTCAAACACCATCACAATTAGTTTATAACTGTCATCATGTGTTCAAAAGATCGTTTTGTGAATGTCTGCCTCCGCCATACGAACTTAGTGGTCTTTGAAACGAAGTTCAATTTTGGAGTAGATCAACAGCTAGCATGTCATCGACTATCAAGATAGGAAACCTGTTTGGTATTGTTGCTTAATTGACGGTGTATTAATTACTTAGAATCATGATAGGAAATACTTGAGTTCGCAAGTAAAGCATAATGTATCTAAGATTGCTTAGAAAAATAAAAAGTAAAAATAGAATGTACCTAGGTGTAGATGCATATTCAAATGATTAATTGTATATATAAAGTGTCTAGATTGTATATTTGGATTGAATTGTACAAATTCAAAGGGTTGTAAAATGTTGAAGGTGAATGTTTATACATAAATATAGGCGCTTCAAAAGTTAATCCCTTCTCTTTTGGAATGCGTTCTATTTTGGAATCATATAAGAGATTTGGAGCCAAAAGATAATAAACAATTACATTTAAACTTACTTTATTTATAGATGTAGAAACTCAAGTATGTTGTGGTGGAACTTGGTTATCTTATTTTTTTTAGTATGACTCTAGGATGTATATATGTATCAAGTAAATGAATTAAATTTTTTTATTTATATATTTGTTTCAGACATCATGCATGTCATTAACTAGATTCATTTACATATTTTGTATAGCCCTGATTTAAAATCTTTGACTCCTTAGGAATAGAGCCATCCTATCTTGCATTCATATGTCGATTGATTGTATTTAGGATGTTAGCTTGTAGCTAACTCCATGCAAGAATAAGTCCAGGTTGTACACACCCCTATTTAGGAACGTTAATTGAATTATAAATTCAAATTAAATTTAAATCCTAGAGTATGACATCCCTGCTCCTGATGAATTTTCGATTATGATAATCCTAAAATTTATAGCCAAATTCATTTGAGTCATATCCAATGAATGTACATTTGATAGATTTTGGATCAAACATACTACTAAATCTTGTACCAAAATGAACATAGATGTACAACCAAAATCTTTTAGGTGAGATAAACTTACCTCCTTATCAGTCCAGGCTTCCTCAAGCAACCCCTCATTCAGTGGAATTGATGGTCTACGATTAATCAAATAAATAGTAGTATTCATCGTCTCTGCCCAAAACTGCTTGGGTAGGCTATCATACAGCCTTATGCTCCTAGCATGCTCAATGATAGTAATATTTATGTGCTTTGCAACACCATTCTGTTGTGGTGTTCTTTGAATATTGAACTCATGATTCCTGCCACCATTATCTGATCTGAGACACTTCAGTTTTAAACATGTCTCGTTCTCAATCATGGCCTTCGACTTCTTAAAAACATCAAGCACATCTGACTTATATTTTAAGAAGTACACCTATACATTTCTACTATTATCATATTAAAAGTGACAAAATACAAAGAATATTTTGCAGAAGAAATTGGTGTAGGACCTCATACATCAATATACACTAACTCCAACTTTTTTGAATTTGCTTTTGAAATAGTTTTTAAAAAAGTCACCCTTTGTTGCTTGACATCTACACCGTCTTCACAAAAACATAGATTTTAGATTTTAAACTAGGAAGTTTTCCTCTACTAAGAAGTGAATGCATACATGTATAGATGATTTCTTATTATGTACATAATAATGAAGGTTAGGTTGAATATTTTGGCGCTTGTATAGAATTCCCGTAATAGCGTCTATATTAAAGAACTTTAATGTGTTTTATCCATTTATGCTTGATGTGTCTTCTGTGTGTTTTATTTATATTATATCCATTAGTTATTTCTTAGTAAAGAAACTTGAGATGGAAAATTTAAATTTCTAATTTATACCTAGTGTTACTTGTTAAATCAAAATTTTTAGGCTGGTGTTAGACTCTTTAAGGGAATTTGTGATCAATTTAGCAATGATGAAATTAAAAATAATAATATTAAAATGTGCTTGAGTCACTCTGAGTATTATTAGTTGGAATAGAATTAGATAGTTTGGGCATATATAATGAAACGACAAAAATATATGAATAAGACAATAATAGAATTTTAAAAAAATAAAAATAAAAAAAAATAAACAAAAAAAGACAATAATAGAATTTTGTGACGAATTTGGCAAGCAGGAGCATGGGGCTCCGTCCAGCCCATACTAGCTAAACCTAGCAAAATTCTGCTGGGCAGGAAATAAAGCAACAGAGAGGGAGTTCGGCCCTCCTTGTGGGGCCCAACAAAGCTATAATCCATTATGGAGGAGGAATCAAGGAAGATTGTTTAGGAAAGTTTTAATTTTAATTTAGAGAGAATTAGTTAGGGAAATAGATCTAATTTGAATTCAACTTTTGATGGGGGGCTATTTAGGAAAAGGAAGTTGATTTGTGATGGAATTAGGGTTGCCTATTCAAGGCTAAAAATATTATCTTTTGGGGATTATGCTTATATTTGCTGAAATTAGGATTTCTTAGATTGTGAGAGCTCTAGACGGTGGCTACGAATTTAGGAGAGTCGGATCATCTTCTCCAATTAAACATCCAACTGTATCTTGCTATTTTTTTTCGTATTTCTTGTAATAAAAAATTTTGTGGTGTGTTCTTTTCAAATTCTTCTTGTGGTTCGCTAATTTGATAGAAATTGCATCCGTTTCCTATTATTAAATTTGTATGAAAGGAAGACGAAGAAAAAATTAGCGTACCAAAAATAAAGAGATTAGAAGCGCTGAAAAAGACTTGTGCAAAGACAGTTAGCACCTCATATTGCATTTGACAGGAAGGAATGAAGATGGGCGATTTATAAAGAGTCTACTCTGGAAGGAATAATGCTTGGATGATAATGATGTCTCAAACTCTATTTACATGAAAATAAATTCAAACTCCCATAATTGCAGAGATGACCTAACATAACACCACATAGTAAAGCACGAGAATGAAATAAGGTCAATTCACAAAGCCATTATCTTTGACAGTGCTACTCACTTCAGCACAAAGAGTTTTGGCATAATGGGAGGGCGTCAAAGAGTTGTGGCAACATAGGCTCTAGTGTTTTATGTATTTATATTAGAAAAGGAAGCAATTCCTTATCTAAGTGATGCTTAATCGTTGCATTCATCTCAGCTAGATAGGAATGATTATAGTAGAATGATGGTGGGAATAGCCTCTATTGAAGGTAAGCTAGTAGAAAATATATTTAGATGATTTGGATAACACAATGAATGGTAGAAAATGTATCCATAACCTGCATAAATTTAATAAATGTTGTTGAATTAGAAAAAAAAATTGATAGACTAAAGATATCATGGATAAAAGTTACAGTTATGCGAAAAATAATTTTAATATCTAATGCACTAAAGATTTATAAAACTGAGCCTTCTGAACCTAAATAGTTGATAAGGCTAATGCTGATGTGATGATCGTTAGAAGAAAAAGCTATTTATTTACACAAAGATGACTCCTATGAGCTATATAAACGAACAAATAAAGTAATAACAAAGAAATTAAGTCAAACAAAAGACACTAAGGTTCGTTTGGGACAGCTTTTTTATTGCTTCTTAAAGCAGATTTTTAATATAAAGTTTCTAAATTTTATACTATAAAATTGCTTTAAGAAGCCGTAAGAAAACCGTCCTAAACGAAGCCTAAATTTTACATGATATTACCAAAATAAATACTTTTTTATTGGAAATAGCTATAGGAATACAAACAAATATTAAAAAAAAAAAAGCCCTTCACAAAATTTAATCTCTCTTCACATTCTTACTAGATTGAAATTTTTATAAATACAAGAATCACGCATAGAGGTGATAAATAAGGAGATATTATAAGTCATAATAGTTTATTTATACAGATTTTTCGTGCAGGATTTTTCTGGGCAGCGTGTCGAACTATGTTTTGTCAATTGCATCATGCCCTGTGACGATCGTGAAGGATCCGGACTTCAAACATTGACTGTTCTGCTTCTATGAGTTCAGTGATGAGACAGACATCTTTGAATGTTTTGGCTTTTGTAATAAGAAGAAATAGACGAGAAGAGGATTTGATGTTTTATAACTTTTACTTGTAGTGAGTGAGACTTTCTTTGCCTTCGGTTGTTTCTCTTTCTCCGCTCGTCATGAATGCCAATCCTACCATACAGAGCTTTCTTGCTGTTTTCATTATTTATGCACTCTGCAAATATTTTTACAGAAGAAGATTTAGATTTTATTTGGGATAATTTTTTACTATTATTTTTTTTGCTATTTACAAAAAATATGGTACTAAAAAACAACAAAGAAACTATTCCAATTTATGCCTTAGATTTTTATATATGTTGGGTTATTTTTTTGCCACATTTCTTAATTTGAAATTTTATATGTCATCATTCGATATAAGTAAAATATTAGATAGTTTAATTAAACTATTTATTAAATATGATTAAATTATAAATACTCAAGGTTGGTACATGTGTCACCAAATGTCAAAGCACCCTAAGATTGTGTCTAGCATTTGACAATTTAATGACAAATCCATGGAGCTATTGAAGGGTTATTATCTTCAGACAACCATCCTAATTTGACTGACCCAATCAGCCACGATAAATATGTAGATTTAGACAATACTTTATGGCCTCACATTTAAATCAATCTAACCCAATTGCTTTCCCATTTTAGACTTGAGCGTGAATATCTTAGTTAGTTCAACAAGTATAATTTGCAATGATTAGATTTAACCTTCGCTAAAGATGGTGGTTGGAACCAGTAGTATAATGATTAAAGGAGCAGGCAGGTGATTGTGCAGGATGTTACAGATTGTGTTAAATGAGGATTAAGAATTTGCTTTAAGGTAAAGCAAGCACTATGAATGTAAATAAGTTAAGATATTCTAATCCAAATTTGGAGGAAAAAAAAAAACAGCTACCATTGAAGTCATATACCAATTATTCTGAATAAAAATAAGTTAAGATATTCTAATCCAAATTTAATTTATAAAAATTTTTATTCAATGATTTTTGCATATATATAATACGTGATTAATTGATTATTATATTAATCTTAATATGAATTCAATAGATAGAAAACTTATTCTCAATCAGTAAAAGGTCCTTCAAATGCAGGGTTTTAAAAATGCCGGTGTTTGATTTGAAGCAAAAAGAATGAAAAGTAAAATTTTGAAGTATTTGGAATTCATCCTCTAGTTCAATTTGGATGTATTTGAAAATCGTTAGATTTGATCAAGTAAATTGTTTGTCTTTATCACCCTGGTTAAGGTGTAAGAAAATAACCCAACACACCAACTTGACCCGAGCCAATCCCAAAGAAATTGAGTTTGGGTTGGGTTTTTCAACCCATTTATTAAACGGGTTGTGTTCTGATTGACCTGTGAACCCATTTTTAATCTAAAATGACTTGTTTAATGTTTTGATGGTTGTGCCCCCGGGCCCCACATATAGGATCTACTGTTGAGTAGTAGATTTTTTTGAAATATTTTGAATAATGATTAAATTGATATTATTTTGTTTATCTTAATTTTGATGGCCAAAAAAATATAATTAGAATCATCATTCATTATTCCTAATAACATGGTATTAAATAAAATGTATTATATATCATAGATAACAATGCAGATATAGATACTTTTTTATTTGAAAATTATTATTATATAAATAATAATATTATCTGCATACAACTAAACTAAGATAATATTAAAAAAACTAATCTCTCCAATCTCAGTGTAGAATGGGGGTGGGGGGATGGGTTTGGGGGGTTCGGCCGAAAGGGGAGGAGGGAAGTTTGAATTGCTTCCAAAGAGGGAAAAGTGGGATTTTGTAGAATGGTAGAATCTTGCCATATTACAAAAAAAAAAGAAGACAGAGAGCATTTCACGGTAAAGGAAAAGGAAGCAGAGAGATAGGAAAAAGGTTTTTCTTTCGTAATTAATCTGGTAGTCGTATACAGTGAATATATATAGAAGTAATGATATAAAGAAAGTACATCATGGTCTAACGTTACAAAGGTTTAAACTAGTTATTGCTTGCCACGTGTACGGTATGTTAACAGCTCCCTTCAAACTGATGGCTGTGTAGTGACTGTGAGTTTGCTTGAATCTTTGTGTTGGTAGAGCCTTTGTAAGTATATCGGCGAGTTGATCATTTGTGCATATATGGTGAACGAAAATATGATTTTTCTAGATGCAGTCCCGAATGAAATGGTAGCGACTTCTATGTGTTTGGTGCGTGCGTGGAAGACGAGATTGTTTGCGAGGGCTATGGCGGACGTGTTGTCGCAGTAGACTGTGGTTGGTTGTTCTTATGGTGTGTGTAAGTCTTCCAAAATCCGTCTAAGCCATAGGATTTCAAATGCTTCGGTGGCTAAAGCGCGGTATTCAGCTTCGGTGGAAGATCGGTCTATTGTGCTTTGTTTCTTGACTTGCCACGAGATTGGTGATTGGCCAAGAAAATTGCAGAACCCGGATATGGAGGTTCGGTCATGTTGATTGCTCGCCCAGTCGGCTTCAACGTATCCCTATAAGGAGAGATTGTCTCGGGATAGAGGAATACCTGTTTGCGTGGTGCCGTGGATATACCGAAGTAACCTTTTGAGTGCTTCTTGATGGGTTTTGAGCGGTTTTTGCATGTGTTGACAAAGTTGTTGAACGGCGAATTGTATATCTGGTCGTGTTAGAGTGAGGTACTGAAGAGACCCAATGATTTGTCTGTATAGATGCGGGTTGTCATATGGTTCGGTGGAGTTGTTGTGTAGAGTGATTTTGCATGGGATTGGTGTGGAAACTGGATTTGATTCCGACATTCCGGCGCGTTCAATGATTTTCTTTGCGTATGTTTGCTGGTGGAGTATAATTCCGGAGTTCGTTTTGTACGTTTGAATGCCAAGGAATTGAGATAGGGGTCCTAGATTGCGCATCTGAAAGGTGTTGTGTAGGTTAGAAAGAAGTTTATTGATTTCGGTGGGAGAGTTACCTGTAAGAAGTATGTACGTAAATGAGGATATAGATTCGTGTAGATCCCAATTTGTAAGTTAACAGTGATTGATCCGAAGAGCTTATTTGGAAGCCGTAGGCAAGCAAGTGATTTGAAAGTGTAGCGTACCACTCCCGATGAGATTGTTTGAGGCCGTATAAGGCTTTCTTTAGGCGGCAGACGTAGTTCGGATGAAGCGTTGAAATCCAGGTGGTTGTTGCATGTAGACGATGTCAGAGAGAGTCCTGTGTAGGAAGGCGTTGGATATGTCTAGCTGGTGGATGATCCAGTTGTGATGTAGTGCCAGGATAATGAGGACATGTATAGTTGGCTTTTTTGCCACCAGAGTGAATATCTCGGTGTAGTCTACGTCGTACTCCTGAGTGTATCCTTTTTTCTACGAGTCAAGCTTTATGTCGTGATATGGTTCCGTCTGAGTTGTATTTAATGCATAACGTCCACTTGGATCCAAGAATGTTGAAGGAATGATTGGGAGGAACTAATTCCCACATGCCTTGGGATTGTAGTGCCTGAAATTCTTGGGACATTGCAGTGCGCCATTGTTCGAATTTGGCGGCTTGATTTTAGGTGGTAGGTTCGGTTGGTTGCAGTAGATGAGCCAGATCAAATATTTTCTTTGGTTTAGATTGTCCGCTTTTGAGTCTTGTGATCATGTGGTGTCTCGATGTGAGGGGTGGTTGATCGGATTCGGTGGGCTGGGTGGTATCTGCGGGCTGTGTGGTTGTATTGGTTCGGGTGACCGAGAGATCTTGAGAGAGTGGTGCGTTTGGTTGTGTGAGGTATAGGGTGAGGGAGGAGTGTCGCTTGTATTGGTTGATTGAGCATATGTTGAGTTGTGTTGTGAGCGAAGGGAAACATTGATTCATTGAAGATGACGAGAGTTGAGGTGTAGATTTTGTTTGTTAAGGGATCAAGGCATCAATAACCCTTTTGGGAGGTGGCGTACCCGATGAAGACGCACGGATGGGATACGGGAGAGAGTTTGTTTGTAGTGTAAGGTTCGAGCCACGGATAGTAGAGGCATCCGAAGACTCTGAAATAATTGTAGTACGATTGTTTGTCGAAGAGCAGTTCGTGAGGAGATTTAGATTGTGTGTTGGGAGAGGGGAGGCAGTTTATAAGCAGGTTTACGGTGAGGACGGTATCTACCCAGAAGCGATGTGGTAAGGATGCTTAAATTAGCAGAGTGCGAGCTGTCTCGATGAGGTGACGATGTTTGCGTTCGGCGACTCTATTCTGCGAAGGGGTATACGGGCAAGTAGTTTGATTAGTTAGGCCAGTGGTGCGACAGTAATGTAAGAATCTGTTATTTATGAATTCACTGCCGTTATCGGTACGAAGAGTACGAATTTTGATATTAAATTGACGATCTATAAAGTTTTGAAATTCAATAAATTTTGTAAAAACTTCAGACTTGTGCGTAATAGGAAAAATCCACGTAAATTTAGAGAATGAAAGAAATATAATATCTAAACCCAGTATTAGATACAATGGGAAACAAACCCCAGACATCCGAGTGAATGAGCAAGAACTGAGAGATGGTTACGGTGGTAGATCTCGAGGTGGGTAATCTGTGACTTTTAGACATTTTGCAAGAGTTGCATTCTATATGAGTGACGTGGATGTTGCTGTTGCGTTTGGAGATGGCGGCTAAGGTAGAAGCAGCTGGGTGGCCGAGCCATCTGTGCCAAAGATCTGGTATGTGTTGAATGGAGATTAGTGCTAGTTGTTTGGTGTGTTCGGCCGGACAGTTTGGGCCACGTAGCGGGTATAAGTCGTTAATAGATGGACCCGTGAGAAGACGGCGGTGGGTCTTTCGGTCATGTATTTCATAGCCGTGAGAAGAAAATATGATAATGCAGTCGTTGTCATGGGTTAGTTTATGCACCGATAGGAGGTTAAAAGAAAGATTAGGGAGAAGATTAAGATTCTTTAGTTTGAAGCTACCTGTTGGGGTTGGGAGTAGACCTTTACCGGTGTTATGGATCGGTAGCTGATGTCCGTTGCCGAGAACGACTTGGCTTGAGCCGATGTAGCTTTGAGGTTGGTGGATGGTGTTGGGGTCGGAGGTTAGATGGGATGAAGCTCCACTATCAAGAAACCACTCGGATGATGCGGATTGTGTTGGTGTTGTAAAGAGTGCCTGAGTGGGTTCGATGTTATAGTTTTCGTCGTG